CACCCGCTCCCTTGCCCCCCTTGCCCTTGCCAGAGCGGCGCCTACCGCTGGGGGCAGACGCCGCACCGACCAACTCTAGACCAACGAGGTCGGCCGTAGCAGCAGAGGCGACAGAGGGTAGCAGGGGGGAAGGAGAACACCCCTCAAAGATGGGGGTGCGGGGGTCACCCCGAGAGGCCCCTACAGCGACTATGCTCTTCTCGGCCGCTAGCAGGGACTTCTCGAGGAGGTCGACAGTGAGGGTGGTGGGACAGACAGAGAGAAACTGGTCCCTAACAGCACGAAGGGACTCAGGGAGACGGGTGACTAGAAAGTAGAGGGTGATGTACATGGGAGGGGGGTTTTCGGCGCAGAAGGCAGCAGGAAGAGCAGCTCGGTAGCGAGTGTCACTAGCGCGAAGGTGGGTAAAGAGGTCAGCAAGTGTAGGAAAGGCAGCAAGGTCAGGGAAGAGGTAAGGTAGCATGAGGCGGCTCAGTGTAGCAGTGGAAGGGGAGGAGTAGCGCGCAACTACAGCGTCGTACAAGGCCTGAGCGGTCTTGCACTGACTAAAGTGTGCACGCTCAGAGGAAGGGAGGTGGCGACGCACAGCAAGACGTGCAGCAGCATCGCGTGTGGCCCACTTGGAGCGAACAGTGGGGTCAGCATCGGCAGGAGGGGCAGGGACAGCGCCAGAGGCAAAGTCAAAGAGAGAGATGTCATCTACTGAATCGCACTGCAAGTACAGCTGCAGGTCCTCGACCCAGACCGCAAAGTCAATGGCGCGACCCTCAGCGCCAAAGGCCAGGACACTAGGGTTGGCCATGATAGCAGCCGACAGTCTCACCAGAGAGGAAGGGTCGAGTAGCTCAGTAGGACAGCAACACGGCAGCTCAGCAACTCCGCCGGCCCAGGAGTAGCAGCAGCCCCACAGGACCCGGCGCTCGGCACCATAGGCGGCTCGGGCGGCTCAGGCGTTCAGCGGCACGGGCGACTCGGGCGGCTCTCTGCTCGGGCGGCGCTCGCGGCTCGGGTGACACGGGCGGCGCGGGCGTCGTGACGGGCTGCTCACGGGCGGCTCACGGGCGGCTGCACGGGCGGCACTGGCGGCTGCACGGGCGGCTGAACGGGCGGCTGAGGGCGGCTGCACGCTGGGCGGCTGCACTGGCGGCTGCACAGGCAGCTGCATGGGCGGGTGCGCGGGCGGCTGCACGGGCGGCTGCGCGGGTGGCTGCACGGGCGGCTGAACGGGCAGCTGAGGGCGGCTGCACGCTGGGCGGCTGCACGGGCGGCTGCACAGGCAGCTGCACGGGCGGGTGCTCGGGCGGGTGCACGGGCGGGTGCGCAGGCGGGTGCACGGGCGGGTGCGCGGGCGGCTGCACGGGCGAGTGCGCGGGCGGATGCACGGGCGGCAGCACGGGCAGTTGCACGGGCGGGTCGTCGGGCGGCGCACAGGCAGCTTACGGGCGGCTGCACGGGCGGCGCGTCGAGCTGCTAAGGGCGACGCACGGGCGGCGCACGGGCTCTGCAAGGGCGGCGCGTCGGGCGGCTAGCGGGCGTCGGGCGCGCGGGCGCTAGGGCGGCGACGGGCGGCGCTCAGGCTCTAGGGCGGGCGGCCGTCAGGCTCTAGGGCGAGCCGCGTTCAGGCTCTAGGTCGGGCAGCGCGCGGGCGCTAGGGCGGGCGGCGCTATGGCGCTAGGGCGGGCGGCGCTCAAGCTCTAGGGGCCGTTAGGGCAGATAGAAAAAAAAAAAGGAAGAGAAAGGGCCCGGAGGACGCTCCGGGCAGAAAAAAAAAGTTACGAGGTAGTGGTGGTGGGCCCTAAGCACAGTTCCCACAGGGGAACCTGCTCGATACCATGAGAAGAAGTGAACGAGAAAGAGTGAACTATGAATGAAGGGAGTACAAATATAAAACCCTAATTGGGTTGTACCCCCTATGGGATACCCCACTATAGCCTACACAACAGCATAAGCTATAATGTTCTGACAGCCAGTTCAGACTGATACAGCCCGAGCTCGACGAACTGAGGAAGCAGTTAGATTAGCTGTTAGAGAAAAAAATCATTCGACCAAGCTCGTCACCGTTCGCCGCACCGATACTGTTCACACCGAAAAAAGACGGGGGTTTTCGCATGTGTATCGACTATAGAAGACTGAACAGGGTAACAGTCAAGTCGCGGTACCCCATTCCCCGCGCCGACGAACTGATCGACCAACTGCGAAAAACACGGGTTTTTTCGAAAATAGATTTACAGGGAGGTTACCATCAGATTAGGGTCGAACCATCGGACTGCGCCAAAACAGCTTTCAGGACTAGGTACGGGTCGTTTGAGTACACTGTGATGCCATTCGGGTTGACCAACGCACCGGCGACTTTTCAGATGACCATGAACGAGGCGTTTAGGCCGCTCTTAGATACATGTGTGATAGTTTACCTCGACGATATCCTAGTTTATAGTCGGGATAACCAGCAGCACTTAGCAGTATTTAAGGTTTTAGACGAGCACAGATTACTGACCAAAGGTTCCAAGTGCGAGTTTTTCGAGGATAGGTTATAATTTTTGGGGCACGTTATTTCGGAGGTTGGAGTTGAAATCGACCCAAAGAAGCTGGATACAGTAAAAGCGTGGCATCCCCCGACGAACATCACGGAGCTGCAGAGCTTTTTAGGGTTCGTTAATTATGTGCGTCGGTTCGTCCCCGATATGGCACGGTTAACTGCCCCACTGACGGATTTACTGAGGAAGGGGGTCGCTTTTACGTGGGGGGAGAAAGAGCATGCTGCCTTCTCTACCCTGAAAAATGTTCTCTGTTCACCGCCCGTCCTGCGCATCGCCGACCCACACCGCCCATTCGAAGTAGTTACCGATGCAAGCGACATCGCCATCGGAGCCGTACTGCTACAGGACTTCGGCAATGGCCTACAGCCCATCGCATACGAGTCACAAAAACTGCATCCGCCCGAGAAAAATTACTCGATACACGCATGCGAAATGCTTGCGATCGTACACGCATTCAAAGTATGGCGCTGTTACTTGACCGGCGCGGACGTGACAGTACGGACAGACCATAAATCACTACAGTATCTCCGCGCACAGCCACACCTCAACCCACAACAAATTCGCTGGCTCGATTTTCTCGAGTCCAACTTTCACTACACGGTCACTTACAAAAAAGGAGCCTCGAACATCGCCGACGCACTGACCGGCCCCACTGCCCAGATCCACGCAATACTACTCGCCCAGACCAGCCCACTACTGACAGGCCTATTTACCCACGGGAACCAAACGGATCCATTATTCACAGAAGGAAATTCGCAACAGTTCGCTGTAGCAAGGGGAGTCTATTACGTAAAAGCCGGGACTGACCCCATTTGGGTGCCCGGGTATACACTGCTACGGGAATTACTGTTACAGTAGGCACACGACGGAGTTACCTCGGGGCATTTCGGAGTAGAAAAAACACGGAAGCAGCTGCAGCGGTATTATTACTGGCCCGAAATGTTGACCGACGTACAGCGACACGCAGCATCGTGTCCCACTTGCCAGCTCATGAAGTCATCAAGGCAGCGGCCGGCAGGACAATTGCAGCCGATACCACCCCCAGAGCGTGCTTGGCAGCAGGTGACGATGGATTTCGTCACGAAGTTACCGGCCGGGGCGAGTAGGAACGACGCAATCCTAGTCGTCGTCGATCGACTGACGAAAATGGCACATTTCGCAGCCTGAAAGAAATCAATCACAGCCGAAGAAACAGCCCGCCTCTTCATCACCACCATCGTACACCTGCACGGGATACCAGCAGCGATCATCAGCGACCGAGACACGAAATTCACCAGCAACTTCTGGCGGAACCTGTGGCAGCAGTTTGGTACGCGACTACAGTTCAGCTCTTCATTCCACTCCGAAACCGATGGACAGACAGAACGGACAAATCAGACCATGGAACAACTCATCCGAGCCACGTGAGACGACCCGACCACCTGGGAACAGCAACTGCCACTCATCGAGTTTGCGTACAACAATTCGCCTTCCGCCACGACCCAACAGTCACCGTTTTACTTGAACTACGGACAAGACCCAACTGTACCCATGACCCCTAATCCCGACAACCCTGTCCCACGAGCACAACAGTTCACCGAAATATTACAAGCAGCACGGACCCAGGCAGCAGACGCGATAAAAAAAATCGAACATCGTCGCTAAACGCAACGCCGACCGCCACCGCAGACCTGTAACTTACCGACCCGACGACCTAGTTTTACTTGACAGCCAGAACCTCCGCCTGCCCATCACCCCAAAACTCCGTCCCCGCTACTATGGACCGTTTCGCATCAGCCACATGATCACACCCGTCACCGCCCACCTCCTCCTCCCCGCTGACTGGTACGTCAGCCCCTCGTCAGCCTACTTCACCCCTACGACCCGTCCACAAGCCAACTCCCACGAAATCGCTCAGCCAGCATGACACGATCGCTGACTGAACCAATCATCACTCCCGATAAAATTTTGAGTCACAGAGTTCGCGATCCTCGAGGAGCCCGAAGGATCGAGTTCCTGATCCGCTGGAAAGACCGTACACCCACCGAAGACAACTGGGTTCTCATGGATAGAATCGAACACCACCCCGTCCTCATCGAGTATTTGCGCAGCCGAAGCTTTAGGGATGTACACGCACTTTCGTAAGGAGGACCTCCTTAGGGGGGGGGGGGGGGGGTAGTGTAAGGAAAAATCATTTTCCTTACTTCGCGTCCCCGCTCAGCGCGTACATCACTGTAGCACCATAGTCAGCACCGTTACCACTCGCAACTCTCGCATCGACAATCCTCCCGCCTCCGCTTCGACACTTTTCCCAACCTCAGTCCCAGGCCCGTCACGCGACAACCACACTCCATTACCGTTACCACTGTAGTTTCGATATATATTCTTCGCTCATGCCTTCGCTCATTTGTACTTTTGCCTCGATAGTGCAATTCTCGTTCGCTCACTCCATTGCACTCGTAACCGTTAAAGCCCGAGGCTATAATGTCAATGGTTCAAGTTCAAGATTCTTGAAGCTGAAATCGTAAAAAACAGGGTAACCCACTTTTGAACTGTGAGGCACTCGCGACCACGGGAAACAATTTTTGGTTGAGGGATTCTGATTGATTGAGATCAACACAGGCAGATTTATCAACCCTCTCGCCACAAAAGCCAACCGAACAGGCCACTGCTCATACATCTGCAAACTTCAACGTCGAGCTAACCATTATAGACTCGATAACTAGGTGCCTCCATAGCTTACAAAATAGCGTAGTTGACGCCTAGCGCACTCACTCCCGCCCGTCCGTCCCATCTCTCCCGTTCGTCTTGTGTCCCCCGTCAGACCCGTCACTCCCATCCTCTCACAAAGTCACACAATCGAGTCACCTTCCTACTCAAGACGCCGGCCGTAACACACAAGGGGCCTTGACAATGAGCTCTTGTGAGCGGAGTCAACCACCATTCCGACCGTAGGCGGTTGGGACACTCCCAACCAACCGGTTGAGGCGGTACCATTGCCCTTGCCTCCGCCGCCTATTCGTCGCCCTCCCTTCTCCTTACCTTCGCGCTCGCTTCCCCTGCCCGTCGCGCTTCCTTCTCTTGCCCGTCGCGCTCACTTACTCTGCCCCGTGCCCTCGCTTCCCTTGCCCGTCGCACTCCCTTCTCCTGCCCGTCGCGCTCCCTTTTCCTGCTCGTCGCGCTCCCTTCTCTTGTTCGTCGCGCTCCCTTCTCCTGCTAGTCGCGCTCCCTTCTCCTGCCCGTCGCGCTCCCATTTCCTGCTCGTCGCGCTCCCTTCTCCTGTTCGTCGCGCTCCCTTCTCCTGATCGTCGCGCTCCCTTCTCCTGCTCGACGCGCTCCCTTCTCCTGCCCATCGCGCACCATTCCGTCACTTATCATTTCTGTCACTCATGGGTGTCTTTGCCTCCCCCTTCCCTACGCGCTACTCCCCCTTCCCTACGCGCTGCTCCCCCTTCCCTACGCGCTGCTCCCCTTCCCTAGGCGCTGCTCCCCTCCCTACGCGCTGCTCCGCCTTCCCTTGCTACTCCTCCTTTCCTACGCGCTGCTCCCCTTCCCTAGACGCTTCTCCCCCTTCCCTACGCGCTATTCCCCCTTCTCTACTCGCTGCTCCCCTTCCCTAGACGCTGCTCCCCCTCCCTACGCGCTGCTCCCCCTCCCTACGCGCTGCTCCCCTTCCCTACGCGCTACTCCCCTTCCCTACGCGCTACTCCCCTTCCCTACGCGCTACTCCCCCTTCCCACTTATCCCTTCTCCTTCCTTTCCGTCTCGCCTTCTCTCCTTCCTTCCCTCTGTCCATTCTCCGAAGCGTAGGGAGGGGGACTGAAGAGACCTTTCTTCCCTCCCGCCTCACTCGCTCCCCTTGCTCACTCTGTTCCATTGCTTGCTATTGAACGTCACCTTCACGCACACCGGGTCACAAAGACACTCACTCACTCACTTCCTTCTGTTACCAACAGCACTCCTGTTAACCATGCATGTCAATTGCTTCCCTCACCACCCCTCTCCTCCCTTCCCTCTCTCACCCCCCCTCCCTCCTCCAGTCCCTCCCGTCCTTCCCGTCCCTCCCGTCGCCTAACACCTTCCGTCCACACAGGTCAACCGCCTTGCATCGGGCCTGTCACTCACACACTTACATGTGACACTCACTCCCGTTCTGCAAACTCACTCCCCTCCTCTCCTCTCCCTTTCCCCATGTCCTTCCCTCCGTTTCCCCCCCTGTCCCTTCCCTCCCGTTCCCCGTGTCCTTCCCTCCGTTTCCCACCTTGTCCCTCCCTCCACCTCCCCCCTGTCTTTCCCTTCGGTTCCCCCCTTGTTCCTCTCTCTCTTTCCCTGTGTCCTTCCCTCCTGGCCCCACCTTCCCCCTCCCTTCCTTTCCTCCATTCCTAACTGCTCCTGCTCCCCCTCCTTCTCATCACTCGTTTTTCCCCGTCACTCTGATCTCCGCCCATATTCCCACACCCCAACCCTCCCTGTCACCCACAGATATCACTTACGCCTTCTCTCCTCCCACCTCCCCTCCTCCCGCCATCTCTTTCCATCCCACTCCTCTTCTCTCTGCCCTTTCCTTCTCGCTGTCCGTATCCGCTCGCCTATTCTGACTCAGGTCTTCTCAACTTGCGCCCGACTTACGCCTCACAAAATGGATGTGCAGCACCGACACTCGCCTTCCGCATTTGTGAACCGGAAGAGCGATAATGGGCACGAGTGAGATTATTAGGGGAGTAACTGACTTGACACTGTCTCGTTTGGTGTATGTCCCCCTTTTTATCAACTACAGAATAGTGGCACTTTTTTGTAAATAACACAACTGCCAGCCAATCGCTCATATCAAGGTTTTATGTTTCATTTACCGAACCCTAAACCATTTTACAAGTTTCTAGATTGTTCTTTATATATGCTAAAAACGATTTTGTAACAACTTTGTCAACAATCCTGAATCCTCGATGCATCTCGGCTTCTGGCGCATTGTGGCATTTTGTACCTTTCTGCAGCCAGCCTTGTTTCTTGAACTCGAAAGCTGAGTTGGGTTGTACTTCCCGCTTCTACCCTTCGCCACCCTTGTTCTGCGATTGTTTCTCTCGCCACCCTTCGCAAACCTAGCTTCAACTTCAGTAAATTTGAGAATGTATGAAAATTAGCCATTCTGTAACAGGGCTTTAATCTCCATCTCCTGGTTCACGAATCGCACCAAGCTTTGTCATTGGTTTGGGTGGAACAGAAAACGACATCAATACCCACCAGCAAAAAAACATCAAGAGGGTGTCCAGCTCGTCCATCTCTCTTTGAGGTGTAGATAGATTCGCCACGGTGGAAACCTGATATTTTCAATCAGCGCTTTCCACCGTTAGGAACCGTCTTGACACACTACCCGTGATCTGCAACTGTACGACGACCCGCACATTCCCTTCGACGATGGCAATCTGCTCGTGTCATGCGCCGGGCCGATGTTCTGCAGCAGCAACATGGGGGAATGGCAGATACTGTACACTGTAATGACAGCTCTTGAGGGAGGGTCCAACAATGTACGTATTCGCAGAGAACCCTACACAACCATCTCGATTCTCAATTAGACCGCTCTGGCTCAGGCTCAAACCTTTTTCAACCCCATTCGGACGTACTCTTTGGACCCGCCCTTACTGCCACTTTCCAACTCGTTGAACTGTACTAGTTTAGTTAGGACCTGAATGAAACCTTCCAACTTGACTTGATTGTCACAGAACTCCGTCCGGGCAGTTCTGATGATGTTGTTGGTTTTCCAAAAGGTCAGGGTTGGAGGTTTGGTTTGGAGCATTGCGAACCGCGCTGGTGCAGTGGTCCCGCAATCTCTGGAACCTTCACAGCAAACAGCTCGCTGATGTGTACAGAGATCAGCCTCGCTGGCTGACAAGCACACACCAGTTCCCCCTGATGCCTTATCGGCACTGTATATCTTCGCAGCCAATGCCGAGCAACTCTTTTCTGAACATTCGTGACACAGTAACAGCTTGACTTTCGCTAGCCGTCCTCCCCGCATTGACTTTCCGCACTCCTCCCCGGATCCTCCCCCCATTCCCCCCTCCCATCCCCCACCACCACCACCACATTCTTCCCCCTCCGCCGTCATCCCTCGTTCATGAGTCACGTGAGATTTCGTCGTAGGCGTTGTTTGGCGTATAGCGCGCCCAGTCAGAGTATACAGTATACATTGACGGTGAAGGGCTGCTGCTGCGACCTTTCCACCACCTTGTCTCGAACTCAATGCCGGGGCGTGAAAATGAGAGAATTTCTTCAGTGCCCTGTTCAGTGATTCGTCCTTCCTCGCGTGGCCTCGAATTACTCGAGTGGCCACCAAATTTGGTGATAATTACTCGAGTGGCCAGGCCAGGGGATTCCCGCTGGTTTTGTTTTTACCGACGCATTACCCTAAGGTGATTAATAAACCCCACGGCTTACAGCATGCCATTCGGGAGCCTCAACCCTAAATTTTAGGGTTGAGGCTCCCTCGGATGGCATGCCTTCCGAGCGGGTTTTAGTTTTTTTCGGGTGGGGAATAGTACGAAAACGCTACCTCGGGATGAGACTCTTGCGAACGAGGAATTTCGGGGCTACAATTCCTTGTAGGGAAATGTTCCGGGAAAAAAACTCCCCGAAAATGCCATGGCGTAGCCACTCCAGTAATTATCACCAAATTTGGTGGCCACTCGAGTAATTCTAAGCCACGCGAATAAGAATGAATCACCAAACAGGGTTCTACAGCATTTCTCTCCGTGAAAATCCTAGTCTTTTGGTGGTCACAGGTCACTGGAGGTCTTTCGCTGTCTCTCGCTTTAGGAGCAGATATGCAGGAAAAAGATAAGTCCAACGCAGCATAGCAAACAGCTCGCTTTATTCTTTTGTCAACTTTCCTCGACGTGGGCTTCTGTCGTCTCGTCTCGCACATGCGAAGGAATGAGCCTTTTCCAAGTACTTCTTACCTCTTATCTCCACTCATTTCTTTAATTAGACTCACAGATTCTATGTAGGCTTTGGAATGACTATGATCGGATTCCCCCAATCCCTGCTTCCTCTTGAAAACTCGTCTTCCAGAAGCCCAATGAATTGTTTAGTAGTACGAAGCAGATCTCCTCCTGATTCCCAACATAGCGACAGCTCTGCGACATCGTCGCCGAAGTCGCAGTCCCTCGCGCGCCGTCGCTCGCTGAAAGTTGCGAGCCTTCAGTTGCACATCCCAGGGCAGCACTCGTCGCCAGCAGTCCTCGAAAACCCCCTTCCGGGTGGGGGTTCCGTATCGGGATTACAGTCGGCGCCATGTTACGAAAAAACTCAATCCCCGCATTCTGCAGAAGCCTCCACGGCGTATACGATACCGCCAAAAGACATACCAGACGGCGGCGAATGTTCCGCCGCCTTGGCCGCTGATGGCCCCACGACGACTATCACCACGGTCACGCGCGCATCGACCTGCGGCTGCTCTCCGCATTCTAATAGTAGCAGCGACAGCGGCAGTGTTGGCGGCTTCAGCGGCAGCAGTAGCGGCAGCAACGGTTCAGTTTCGTGCGTGTTCCCAGCCGCGTCTCTTCTCTCTCCAGCTACGCCCGCCACGTCAGCTTCTGCCGCGCTTGTATCGCCTCCGACGTGTCATGCTCTTCGCGGCAAATGCCGCGGTAGGACGGTGCGCTCCCGTTGCACAGCTAGCTTACACGGGGCGGGCGGACACTACGCTTCCGCTCAGTCTTCCCCCTCCCCTTCCGCCTCCCCCTCGGGCTGGCGTCCGCCGACCCCCACTGTCGTGCGCAGCCCCAACGCGGAGGTAATTGCGGAGCGGTCGCGCGATTCCCCCGACATGGACCGCGTGTGGGTGAAGCTGGCGGAGCAGTTAGAGCGCGAGCAGGCGGGCAAGAAAGCACCGCGCGGGTACCGCGCAGGCTCCCCGCCCGCGGAGGGTGAGCGCAAATTGCCAGCGCCCACGGCGCGCATCCTCCGCCGCGCCTTGTCCGCATCCTCCGCGGCTCTCCATAGTGCCCCCTTGCCTGCTGCGCCCCCGCCCGCCCGCCGCTCCGCCACGGTATCAATCCCCTTCCCTTCCCCGGCAGTGTTCCGCCAACATACAGCTGCGCCCGAAGCCAGCGCAGCTGCGCTTGGCGGAAAATCCTCTCCCTGCGCCTCTCCTTGTGACTCCCCCAAGTCCCCGAGCGGCTCAATTGCCCAGCGGCTGAACGGATGGCTCTACGGGCGGCGGCGTTCTCAATTCTGGGAATCTGCGGTTGAGACGAACAGAGCCGTTGAAGACGACCATTGCGGGAGCTGCGAACCCGGAAGTACGGTTACCGAATTCGCAGGCTGTGGGGTGGAGGAATGGCGGGATGTGGAAGGAATTACTTTTCCGCGCGGTGTATGTGGGGACAGCGGCGGTGGCGGAATCGCCAATTGTGACAAAAGTATCAGCAGTCATGGAGGCTTGGAAGCTGACGCGGTTCTAGCGGGCGCTTGTGCCTGTGTGTCTGCCGTGCCAGCTGGCGCAAATTATCAAGTGACGACAAGACCGCGGTTTAGTCAGAAAGCAGCACATCGGGATTTGCACAAGCCTCCGCTCTCTCCGGGAAGTAAAGAAGACACTTGCGCCGCTTGTGCTGGTGCGGGGCAAATTTCTCGTTTCTGCGAGACTTCTCTCTGTTCACCTGCGGTTACATCTGGCGAACGCAGCTGCGGTGACGAATCGGGTTACATCATGGCTGACGAAGCTGAGTATCACGAAGGTGGCTGCTCATTTGTTACACCCAGAATACAAGATTCTTTTGTGGTTAACCACCACGGAAATGACAAGACAGGGACTGTTTTTCACCCAGATTTACGTAACCCCTGCTCGTTGAGTCCTCCTGGTTCCAATCCTCGATATAAGCTTGTCAGCTGCCTCTGCACTGGCAGGTCACTCTCTGCTACAGTTTTATCAAACAGGCATGGTGAAACATCAAAAGTGGGACTCAAGAAGCATGTGTCATTCTGCAAGGTTGTTCGTGTCCGTGTGATTTTAGACCCGGAGTAAGTTAGCGAGTCACATATACTGTCTTGCTCTTTCAAAATAATTTTAAAAACACAATAATACCATTGAAATTACTATCCAAGAATCACAATGACAAACTTGTGTAGCACCATATTTACATATTTAGAACAACACACGGCACATACGCCAATGATAAATACGAAAAAAAACTTAGTGAAGGGAGACACACCCTGTAATAGCAGGTCGAACTTCGTGAAAGGATACGAATCCAAACCCAGAGGATATTTGCGACTTGCGTGAAGTCCGCCATAACTCCGAGTCTTTGGTAGTATACACCGTTGATGAGCACTGAGCGGCACCCCAGCTCAGGTCTGGGTCTGGGAGGTTAACTCTGGCGGGATTCGCG